TGGAGGTTGCCTATTGTTCAAATAGGCAGTTTTAGTCATTCTAAATTAGGAATAGATTAAATAAAGCTCCACTTAGTAACCAATCATCAGTGATTAAGAGAAGAAGGGCTTCTGCTTTTCTATTTAGAACAAGAATCTTTTCCTCCAAGGCAAGGTCTACATGTATGGCCCAGGCTGGTCTTGACCTCAGGAGTTTCCTGTCTCAGCTTCCAAAGTTCTGGGATTATAGACAAGCGCTTCCTTACATGGCTTTTGTGTGACTTTTTGTGACAGTTGAGATAGTCTCTAGAAGTCAAATATCTGGCAGTTGTCACTGCTCATTTGAAGGAAGCCAAGATCTACAATTTGAATGGAGTTTCACAAGTGTTAGAAGGTAGACGAAGAATGATGTTAGATAATATTATCTTAAATATTTGAATTTTATGACCAGGTCATAAAAAACATATCTTTCTTTATGCCTTCTTTCTCAGTTTGGTTCACTTGCAAAGTCTAAACCTTTGAGTTGCTCTGAGTTTATTAATGCAGATTTCTGAGGAATTTTCACTGGAGAGGTTCAACAATGGTAATAGGAATGCATAGATAGAATAGCTTCCCCATCTTTTTATTTAGATGCAGAGATACTGTGTCTGCTTTGGTTATGTATAGTTTCTGTGCTACTGCAGAATTTTCATATATCTGCTTCCTGAAGAGAACACAGACTTGTATTATTCTGTAGGATCTGATAGATTTAAGTCACAATATACCCAAGACCAAGTAACTGAATACAGGTGTTAGGGTCTTTAAATTCTTACTTGAGTGAATTTTTCTTATAGAATTCTCCAAATATGAACGAAAGGAAAGGCCTTCTTTTCAAAATAACAGAGATTTTATTTTTAAATTTATTGTTGGCAACTGAATCCCTAACCTTGGGCATGCTGGGCAAACTCTTGGCTACTAAGCCACATCCTTAGCTAAATGACATGATTTTGATCCTTTTAAAAAAAATTGTTTTTTTTGTGGTGAGAAGATGGGGGAATTAGATACCCCTCTCATGTGACTTGGTGAAAGAAAAAGGATGATCTCTAGTGATTTCTGTTCTCATAAGAATCATTAGCTTTAAATATGGATTAATATATACATATATATGTAATACATATATGTATTAGCGAAATGTCTCTAGATGCTTTTTTTTTTGCCTCATTAACAGTGGTTAAGGAACACAGATGTGGGACGAAGAGGTGGATGGCGCATCCACGTGCTGTGCCTACTTCAAAGCACCCAGGTCTCACGTTCAGTCAAGGGAAACCATGTTTGCGCACTTCTGTTGAACTAGCCCTCTGGCCTCATGTTGGGAAGCACTGGGCATGGAGATTTACAAGCTCCTAGTCACATCAGTCAGCTACACATCCTTCAGTTTCTGCACTCTGCCTTCATCACCACCGTCTTAGGCAGTGCCTCCGTTCTGACGGTGCCTGCTTAATATCCTCTATAAACCTCACCAGTTAGAATGCTGTTCGTCTCTCCTTGACGAGCTGACACAGTGGGTAGCACTCTGTTCACCCCCTCCTGTAATTCATATTGTACAGTGATCAAAAATATCAAAAGGTCCCTATGATGGCAACAGAGAAAACGTTCCGACTCCCCAGGTCCATTCCCAGGTCCTTTGGGAAACACCTCAATTCCCCATTCAATGCTTCCAGCTCACTGGTGAGGTACATCTGTACGGGGTTTCCATTTGTTGTGTGAAATGAGCTGTTTTGTAAGTACCACTTTGTAAACATCAAACTTGACAGACGTCCTGGTTTTATAATGTGACACAGTGAAGAAAGCTTTAAGGATGTAGTAAGCATGAGATATTAATAGCTTTATCGGTACCCTAAAGCCTGATGTAAACCTTCCTATAACAATTCTGTAGTCACAATAGCTGGGGTGATATGACTAAATCTATCCCTCCTGGCAAGCAGATCGCACTGTGTGGGAAGCTTAGTCTGTAGAAATAATTCCTCCCACTTCCCTTTTCTCTGTCCTTTTTCTTTTGAACTCCCTTGCTTGCCATTTAATATCTGCCTTCCCATGATCCCGAGGAGCTGCCATTCCAGGAACAGCTGGGTTTATTTTGATTGATGCTCACGCCTGTACGGCATCACTTTGAGCGTGGTTTTCAGTTTGATGAGTGTTCTGAGGGCTTCTGCTGCATGGGTGGTCTCGTCCATCACGTAAGCACCTGTTCATCTGGGAAGAATCTCGTATTCACATGCCCATTGCTCGGAAATTGGATTTCTTCATTAATTCTCACTCCATCACCATTATGATAAAATCAACAATTTTGTACTGATGAAGCATCTGTTTTACAGGTATAAAATCTTTACTTTTAGGGTTTCTCATATGCTCCCTATAATATGTTAACTTGTGGTTTGCTCTGTGAAGAAAAGAGTAAAGAGATATTAAGAATTGAAACTCACATTTTTAATGAAAGATATGTCGCTATATGATCTTAAAAGTTTAGAGTTATTTAAGTTTTTCCCATCTACTTAGCAGTTATCATGCTTAATAATATGTTATTATGCTTTTTAAATTGTTTATTTATTTTTATCTTGTGTGCAGGAGTATGTTGCCTGCATGTATGTATGTGCACTGTGTGTTTGCCTGGAACCACGGAAGCCGGGAGGACACTTCAGATCCTTCCACAGCTGGAGTTGCAGGTAGTCCTGAGCTTCCATGTGAATGCTGAGAACTAAACCACAGTCCTCTGCAAGAGGACCAAGGACTCTTAACCACTAAGCCTTCTTCCAGCCCCATCATCATGCCTTAAACAGTAGATTATTGAGATCTGTTTTGTATTTATGAAATTTACTCATTTGAATTATTAAAAAAATAACTTTTAGTCTATTTGAAAGATCATAAGATCTCTTGCAGAATTCAATTTATAAATGTTTTATTATCCCCTAAGCATCTAGTGTGCCCACAGTAGACACCTTCTTATCTCATGTCTACATTTACTCAGCCAATGATATGTGTTCAAAATTTATAGATTTGTCCCTCCTGGGCTTTGATATAAGTGAACTCATATAAATCAATGTCCAGCGTTCTGCGACTGACTTCTTTTACTTGGAGCATGCTTTTTAGAGTCTTTCATGATGTAGTATGTATTGGCCCCTCAATCACTCATGCTTCGTTGAAGGGTGACAGCACATTTTACTCATCCACTCCAACTTGATGACCATCTGGAAGATTTCCAAACGGCTAATAAAGCATAACTTTGCTGTCAGAGTTCTTGACGCCAGCCATCAGGAGCCGTTATTTACCGCTAGCAGGGTGGTGAACTGGAATAACCATTATGAAAGGCAGTACGGAGGTTTCTCAAAAAATTAAAAATAGAACCTATGAATGACCCAGTTATCCCATGCTAAGACATTTTCCTGGAGGATGGAGTCTTCTACTGCAGAGAAACTTACACTTCCATGTTTATTGCTGCCCCGCACCCAGTATTGTGGAAATGGAACCAGCCTAGATGCCCAGTGCCAAGGTGACTTGATAGTTAATATATATATATATATACATATATATACATATATGTGTATATATATGTATATATAATATACAGTGAAATTTTGCTCTGACATTAATAAAAATGAAATCATGAAATTTTCAGGGAAATCAATGGAGTTACAAAGTACCCTATTCAGTGACGTGATCCAAGCTCAGAAAGACAACAGCAGTGTGTGCTGTATCATATACGGATCCTGTATTGGAATGTTTATACATGTACACAGAAGGGCTTAGGTGTGGATAAAGATAAAACAACTACAGAGGAGACCAGGAGAACAAAGAGGTATGGAGGATGGGGAATGGAGTGCAGACGGACGCATGGGGCATGGAAGCAGAAAAGAAGAGTGGGGAGACAATTGTAGGACAGAGAGGCAGTGAATGGGGAAGAGGATCACACGTTTTGTTTGAAACCGTCATTATAACGTCCCATATTTATATGCTAATTCACAGAAGAAAAATAAAGAGTAGTTTTTGTTGGTGGGCACATTCACAGGGATACATGCTTTTACTTCTTTTTATAAATTGCTAAGAATGAAATTGCTGAGGATTTTAGTGACTTTCTATTCACTTTATGCTTACACTTGGCTTTCTAAGACACAGTCATATTGTCATTTGAAGTGGATTCACTGTTATAAACTGTGTCAGTAATTTGAGAAAGCATTTTCTCCCTGTTCATCTCGGCGGTTGTTATTCTAGTCATTATAGTTGATGTGAATGGCGTTGCAGAGTTTCATGGTGGTTTTGTTTTGCATTTTTTTTTGCTTTTCCTTAATGACTAATGTTGAATTCTAACACATACCATCATTGCTGAGGTATTTATTTAAATCTGCTGCTGAGAATATTCTCACATTTTCACCAATGACTCCTCCACAGTGGCAGGAATAGGACTATGTTGGATTCTTTCTGGGTGGTTCCCATATGAGTGACCCAACAGACAAAATGGACAACAATGCTTTTGTAGATGAAATGCAAACTGGTATTTTATCTCATTGACTCATAAAGTTAAATGCTCCCTCGCAAACCAAGCTGGTAAGTGTGCAATGTGGGTCAAGTTTAGGAAAACAGAGAGTAATGAAGAAGCTATGTCTTACTCCATAAGGATGTATAAGTTGATTCAAAAATATTTATACATATGCCAAGGAAATGAACTAACCCCTGAATGTCAGACTGGCTGTAAGAGGTACCTGACAACTTCAACCCAAAGCATAAATCAAGGCAGTCAGGAAATGACGAGAGTATATTTCTTTGACATGCTAGCAATGTGGAAACCAGCGAGAAAAGATTCGGTCTCCTCTGCTCCTCTACTGCTTGATACTCCAAGGCCAAACCTAATCCCATGAATAGCTACCACACTTTCAAAGACTTTTTCCTTTGTGTTGGATCATCTGTGTGTTACATCTACCTTGGCCTGGTAAGGAACCAAACTGACGTCCCTTCTGTTGTGTCCATTGTTGAAGTTTCCTCTTTTCTAGATTGGCTCCTCTACTATTTGAAGGTTTGCTACATGGGTTGCAGCAGGGTTCTGTTCTCTATGATTCCTGGCTGTATGGAGGAAGTCTGGGCCTCTACAGCAGCATCCTGGGGAGTGACATTGCAGAATAATGTCACTCAACGCTACTAGAGAGGATGTAATGTAATATAATCCTCACGTGAAGACCTGGTTAAGTTATAATGTTTTATACTCAGATTTTCTTCTGAATTTTTGCTTGAGAAACATGAGGCATTACTTTTCGAGTGGGTTTTATTTGAGATGTTCAGGGAGATAATATCTGGAGCCCGGAGATGAGAAACCAGATGATGAAACCCTAGGCTACTGAGTTGTCTGGTATGCGGTCCAGCAGGCCTTTCCGCTCTGGTTTATTGCTGTGTCTGGTTTCCCATTTCCTTCTTTCAGTGGAGTCCCTAGGGAAGGTTAAATGCTTACCTAACATACTAATGTCTATGCTATGCAAAGTGATGGTTGCCAAATCAGTTTATGAACAGAATTCTTGCCTAAGGAAACTCAGGGCTGAGGAAGATGCCTTGCATATGCCAAACAGAAGATTCATTTTCTTGTTTTAGGGAGCTTAGGTCATCATCAGACCTGTAGGATCACATAAATTGGCTTTCCTTTCTTTTGGAAAAGAAGTCTATCCTAGGGCCAAAGTTTTAAAGGAACTTTTAAAAACTTGCCTTTGAGATCTGACACATACTTCCTGTCCTGAGGACACACTTTGGCCTTCTTATGTGAAGTCAGAAGTGCCTTAGGAAGTGGGGGCTGCTGAGTGCGATGCTTTTCGTTCAGCTTCCAGCTCTCTTCTCCGGGCAGACAAAGACCATGAATTGTCGAAATTCTAGGATGAATAAAATCCACACATGCTATAGCTCTTCCAGGTCATTTCTTTCAGGTCTTTTGGCAACAGTCCAGGGAGATGAAGAGGCGAGAAAGTTGCTGTCTTGGTTTCTAGAATGTTCTTGGTAACTCCCGACCTTCTCAAAAGGTACGAAAACAAGTTCTGGTTTCTCAGTGTAATAGTTGGCAGAGGATTCACATTAATTCTCTTATAGTTCAACTTTGTGGCACAGGTAGGGAATGAAAGCCTTCTTAGTAAGCAAATTATGAAGCAATCTTGCCCCTTTGATCGCTAAAGCCTGTATTTAGCTGTCTTCACAAGCTACAGAGCACACATCTCTGCCTCATTAGGATGGTCTAATATGTGGCCGTCATAGGTTTTTACCCCGGCGGGGAATTGCAACTGTTCTGCTGTTTGTTGTTGTCTAGTGCCTTGTGTAGCCAGGGACTCTGCTGAAGGCAGGCCCCAGGTTGCTTGCTTTACTTCCTTTTTGTCCTGAATGGGGAAGTCTATTTTCTGAGCGCCTTTGAGTCTTGTTCTTGCTGACAGTTTGTGTTCCCTTTCTTGATTCTAAGATGCTTTTCACCCTCCACTTCCATCTGCCCCAGCTTCAGACTTTATAGCAGTGGACAAATGGCTCACTGGATTTGTCAGAACTTGCAACTGTAGGCCCGGAGGTCCCTCCCTCTTGTGGCTCAAATACAGGATACTTAAGGAATGGAATGTGTTAGACCTGATTGACTAGTTCTTAGAAGCTGGGAGCCTTTTCACCCAGAGGTAAGTAAAGATATAAACTAGGTGACCTCTACAGGTTTGGCATGTGCTTACATCATGCCAGGGCTCAGCACAGGTCTCACATCACCATATCAAAGTCAGTAAGCACGGTTTGACCTTAGGTCACCAGGCACAATCATTTGAATATATGTAAATAGCTCTAACGAGTACCAAATATACTCCTTTACTTTAACCAAAAGAACCTGGAAGTGCCGAAGTAGTCAAATTATTTTAAGTCACCTCAATACTTGGGCCATGATATGTTTAATTCTCCCAAGTAGATTGGAGACCGTACTAATCGCATTGGCACCCTACTTGTAAAACCTGCTTCACTTGGTTCCTTTGACATAGATAATAAATGCACCTTTCTCTCTTCTCTTTTTATTTCCATTTGATGTTGAGATTCTATTGCGGACACGATCTCAGTTTTGGAGACTTGCTGCCCTACTATGCTGACCGTTACTATGGTGGGAACAGTCTGACCATTCATCATCTACTCTCACCTGGTCTCTCTCCTTTCCTTCCCACCTCCCATTTCCCTTCCTCTCGTAACACAGCTTTGACACCAGCTTGATCATCTACTCAATGTGATGCATGATTCAAGCACAGGCTTAAATATCCTCTCTGAAATGATGACCTCTCTCCAAACGATCACGTTAACCAGTGTTCCCATTAGAGCCCATCTTCTCACGGGTTCTTAATTGCTTGCCAGGCAGCCAGAGAATAGGTCCGTCTTTACTCCAAGGCATACTGAAGGGAAAACAACAGGGTATTTTGCATTCTTGGGCTCAATCACACGAGTTCATCAGGGAAATAAAACTGTCAGCACAGCGTGTCTGAGTACAGAACAGAGGATGACGGTATGGTGCAGGATTCAAAGGACTGCCGGAGGCTAAAGCCACTATGTAAGTTTTAATTAACAAGAACGGTCAGGGGCAGGTGCCCTAGAATTGAACACTGTCGCTATTCGTGTTAATTTTTAATGTGAGTATATGAAAACTCCTGCATGCATAATTTCACAATTAATTTTCTTATAAGTTAGGAATGTCCCAGATATCCCCTAAAGGACGGCTGGAGAGAACAATTCATTTAATGTCGTTTGGTATTTTGGACATTCTACTGTTAGCCATTATATTTGTGGCTTCCATCTCACTTTTCTTTCTTATGTGGTTTTCCAGAGTGTAAAAAGCCCTGTCTTTGAGGTGAACATGGTCTACCTCCACACTTTTGAAAATATTTTGAGGTTTTTGGATGCATTTTAGGTCAAAGGTCAAAGATCAAAGCAAGATGGGGTTTGCTATTGAAGTTTTGGGATTTCTGGTGTTTAAATCAGCTATTGCAGAAAACATATACGTGTTTGTCAACCAAATAAATATTTTAAAGTTGAGTATTATCCTAGCAATTGGTCTTAGCAAGTCAAATGTTCTATCTTATGAAATATGCTTTAAGTTTTTGTATTTTGCTATTTTAAACGTTACTTTCTGCCTCACCTTTGTTAACAGGAGCATTTTTGTTATGTCTCAGTTAAGTGGAAGCAGGTAGGTAGGTCTCACCTGTTTGTATTTGCGTCACAGTTAGGCAACAAGGCTGATAAAATACGGTCGATAAGAACATTTTCAGTTGCACCAGATCATCAAGAAGGACAGAATTGCCAGGACGTTTCAGAAGCCTGAGCTCAACCCTGGGGCTATGTGGGGATTGGGGGGAGGGGGAAGGTTTTGTGGTGTGGAAAGCTAAATTTTCCTACAAGGAAATTCTTTCTTTTGGAAATTTAAATGTCTTTCAAATCATGCCATGCTGGAGGTATTTGCTGTGCAGGCTTTACACTCATGAGAACATACATTCAATCTTCACTTGTGATATGCTTTGATATTGAAAGAGCCACTTATTTACTGCAGAACTGTGGTCAACATATGTAATACCATGTACTCTTTATTTGTAAAATATAGACGATAAAAATACCTTGCAAAACATTGTGAAGAGTAAATGCTGTAACATGGAATCAAATTTAGACTGTGAAGGCTGTGGATAGGTAAATTTGTAGAAGAAAAGGTGGGGGAAAGAATGAAAATAAGAGTCACGGAGGTTCCTGCTCAGTCAACAAAATCAGGGAAATTCCCATATGTCTTCACCCCTTGGACCACCTCCAGGTGAGTCTCGATCTCATGGGGTTGGAAACTGAGATGAACCCTCACAGTGAGGTTAAAATAATAACAGACAACTTGAATAATTTCCATTTTGGATATTTATGTATCTTGGAATCAGTTTTACTGTTTTGGGAGCATCTGCCTTTGCTTCCAAGATCAGCATCGGGAGTGCCAGTTCACTCTATTCCAAACTGCTTGTTGAGTAGGGTCTTTCATCAAACCCATCAGGATACTTAAAAAAAAAATCCCCATTTAGTTTCGAATCATTTTGATAAATTGCCTGCATAAAACACTGAGCTATCATTTGGAGCCCAAGTACCAAGGCTGAGTTATTGCAAGAGTTGGAAATTTTCCCTCTTTTCCTTTTACGTATGTAGGACGAACCTCAAATGTAAGAAGCATAGTTGAGATAGATGCTTCTTTTAAGGTTAGTCCTTCTGACCACAATCAAGCATAATATAAAACAAAACAAAAGGAAAAAAATGAAAGAATAGGGAAAAAAAGAAACGAAGAAGAAATGAAATTCAGAGAGAACAAATCTGTGTTGGCTCAGTGTCTGGGAGGTGTAGGATTCTTTTTCAATTTCTTTCAATGTTTTTCACTAAAAATTTTAAAGATGCAGAGAATTTGAGAGGATTTTAAATAAACACCCATGAAGCCATCACCTGGGCTTTGCTGCCAACATTTTCTCCTACTTACTCTGCCATACTTCTTTCTCAGTGTGCAAAGAAAGCTTAAATCAATGTTTCTAGGGTGAGAGTACAGTTGATCACATCTGTGGACTCCGTTTTCCTGTTTGGGGAGCAACTGGCATCGTTTCCGTGATCAGAAGTGGTGATGTCAGCTCATTCTACCTGAAACTGCTTGTTGAGTTTCCCAGATGTACCATGACACTGTAGAGCTGGGCAGGCCTAGCAACCATTTGGGCAGTTTGTTAAACTAATGCTCTCCTGCGCATCACTCCCTAAAACTCTGAGTCAGTAAATCCCAAAATGCAGTAAAGGTGACTTTGATGTATGATTGGATTCGGGAACCATAGACCTTGGTAGAACTGAAAACCAATGCCTTAGGGCCTTTGGATAAAGCAAGAAATTTGGGAGAACAAATTAATAATAAGACATATAAACAAGCACCAAGTTCTGTGGTCTACATTCTTAGTGTGGGATAGATAGGTCATTAGCTATCCTTGGAGGACCAAAGGGCCATAAACTGAGTCTAAGAGAATCAGTAATGTTCGATGAAGCCAAGAAATAGGAGAGTCAGGTGATCCAAATTGGGAAAATACCAAATGGACAGTGTCAATGATTGGACAGGAAGGGAGAGTCAGGGATGAGCTTACCGGGCTTGT